CAAAAGAAAAGTGAGGTGGGGGCCACAGGACAGTCACAAACTTTGTTGTTAAAAGTTTGCTGCTTTTTCTACAGTGGAGACTCCATGGTGGAGGTAAGTAAACTGTAAAGGATGTTGTTGACCAGTTAAGCGTTTATTTCTCAGCCTAGATAATGTTTTTTGAGTAATAATAACACAACCATGTTATTGTTGATGCTTTGTGTTCTCATGTCAATTAGGGAGATGATCAGAGCCCTAAACTCCAGAGAACCACGGAAAAGATCCAGGAAGAGACACAGAGGTGCAGATGTCTGCATCAACCCTAACCTCAGTGAATCCAGTGACCTGCTGGTGGAATGTGAGGGACAATATGTCAAACTGACAACCAGGTATCTGTGTGTGCAACAATCATCACCCTCAGAGCGAACACTTCCTACTGCTGGAGACACCATCAGCCAGGAGCGGGCTTGTTTGTGTCCAGAGAAAACAGACATGTTGTTTCTGAATACAATCTGTTCAGTGAAAAGGGCCTCAGTGTGTAGCAGTGAGCATTAAACACTGACGTGTCACTGGTTTGTAACTGGTCTTTTGACCTGGACATTATTTGTTTATTTTTATGCAAGAAAACTGCTTGGAATAGAAATGCCAAAGTTAAAAAATAAAAAAACTCACAATTTGTACTGTAATGTGTAAGTCTAAAAAAGTTAAATCTGGTCCTCTGGACATTCAAAAAAACAAAACAAAGCAAATCAACAAAAAATGTAGAAACGTTTCGTCTCTCATCCGAGAGACTTCCTCAGTCTGAGCTGCTGTTTTCAGCTCAGTCTCTTAAATAGCACCGTCTCAGGGTGGATCAACCAGTTTTGCTGCTGACAACCAAAACCAGCTGATCACATGCTCAAGAAGGACCATCAGCCTAACAATGGATCATTAGCACACTGATGGCTGTTTACTGTTCACAGAGGGCTGAGTGATACTAGCAATCACAGCATTGTAAGAGGGGGACAATTGAACCTGGAGGCCTCCACCCCTGTTTAATGATGGACGGTTTCTTTTCACAAAGATGGCCTCCTTTACTCCTCTCTCAAACCATTGTTCCTCTCTGTCCAGGATGTGAACATCTTCATCCCTGAAAGAGTGACCGCTGGCCTGGAGATGAGTGTAGACCGCAGAGTCCTGGCCTGATGATGTTGATCTTCTGTGCTGGGCCATCCTTTTGGCCAGTGGCTGTTTTGTTTCCCCGATGTAAGACTGATCACCCTCCTGACACTGAACAGCATACACAACATTACTCTGTTTGTGTTGGGGACTGGATCTTTGGGATGAACCAGTCTTTGCCGTAATGTATTTTGGGGTTTAAAAGCCACTGGGACGTTATGTTTAGAAAATAAACGTCTCAGTTTCTCTGATACTCCCTCAACATATGGAATGACCACTGGTCTGGGTCTGGGTTCCTCCTTTTCACCTGATGGCTGACTGGAGTCCTGTTTGGGTTTCTTCTCTGCTTTCAGGAAGGCCCAGTTAGGATATCCACATTGCTCTAGAGCCTGTCTTGTGTAGGATTTCTCCTTCTGCCTGGCTCCTGAGATAGTGGGGACGCTGTCTGCTCTGTGATACAGAGTCCTGATGACTCCTAACTTGTGCTCCAAAGGGTGATGGGAGTCAAACTGCAAATACTGGTCTGTGTGGGTGGGTTTGCGGTACACCTCAGTTTGCAAATGTCCTCTATCAGAGACTGAGACCTCACAGTCCAAGAAAGCCAACCTGCATTTTTTACATCTTCTCGTGTGAACTTGATGTATTTATCCACAGAGTTGATGTGGTCAGTAAAATGTTGGACTTCCTGAGATTTGATTTTAACCCAGGTGTCGTCAACATACCTGAACCAATGACTTGGTGGTGTCCCTGAAAAGGACGTCAAGGCTCTCTTTTCTACCTCCTCCATGTACAGGTTGGCAACAATAGGAGAAACTGGAGACCCCATAGCACACCCATGCTATGAGATCAGTCTTACATCGGGGAAACAAAACAGCCACTGGCCAAAAGGATGGCCCAGCACAGAAGATCAACATCATCAGGCCAGGACTCTGCAGTCTACACTCATCTCCAGGCCAGCGGTCACTCTTTCAGGGATGAAGATGTTCACATCCTGGACAGAGAGGAACGATGGTTTGAGAGAGGAGTAAAGGAGGCCATCTTTGTGAAAAGAAATCGTCCATCGTTAAACAGGGGTGGAGGCCTCCGGGTTCAACTGTCCCCCTCTTACAATGCTGTGATTGCTAGAATCACTCAGCCCTCTGTGAACAGTAAACAGCCATCAGTGTGCTAATGATCCATTGTTAGGCTGATGGTCCTTCTTGAGCATGTGATCAGCTGGTTTTGGTTATCAGCAGCAAAACTGGTTGATCCACCCTGAGACGGTGCTATTTAAGAGACTGAGCTGAAAACAGCACCTCAGACTGAGGAAGTCTCTCGGATGAGAGACGAAACGTTTCTACATTTGTTGTTGATTTGCTTTGTTTTGTTTTTTTGAATGTCCAGAGGACCAGATTTAACTTTTTTAGATTTTTCTACCTGGATTATTGAGCATGCATCAGGATGTAATGTGTAAGGTAATTTCATTCTTGTTAGAATTAATAGTAATTACAAAATTGGTTCCGAAAAAAGAACCGTCCAGGAACCGACATCGAAGTGAAGGTACCGACACCAGTACCAATTTTTTTAGAAAGGTACCCAGCCCTAGAAATATGAAGCAACTCACTAAACCAGTTGGGGTTAAAGAACTTGTTGCCAGGTGAAACATAATTGCCCATGCAGTAATTATCCAACAGGAGGCTCATACCTTTTGCTTAGTTAAATCCAGGTGGCAACTTTTTTTTTGGCCAGGCAGTGTAGTTATCAAACTTGATGTGGGTCTCATGTTAGTTTTTAGCTTTATTATTATTATTATTTTTTTTTAGTTTATAAAGTTTGAGCAACTGTAACATCTTTGCTTAAGTTGTTTGTTTATAGAAAAAGACGACAATCTGGTTTGGCCCTGTAAGAAGAATGGAGCTAAGGCTTCACATATTGAATGAAGGCTGTTGCAAAACGTGGAACTTGACACATAATTTTCAAAAATCACTTAATTAGAAACAGAAAATACTTCTGAACACAGCTTAAGTGAGTTTTTTTTTCTTTCTTTCTCTCTTGTATGTAACGCCAAAATGATTATGCATTTGTCGTTTGATCTTAAAACACTTTATTTTTTTAACAAAATAAGTATTTTCTTTCCAAAAATAGACACTTTCATAAGTCTAAGCAACTTGTTTTTTATTATTATTTGGAAGGTAAAACTAAATGCCTTGTAGCATAAATGGCTCACAATTATTATGAAGAAATACTAAAATGAAATAGTTTCACATTGCTTGAAGGTAAAAGCAGCACTTTGAGCTTCTCAACATTCAAAAAGGCAGAAAAACTTCATGTCAGCACATTAGAAGACCATCAACAGTTCCTTCCTGAATTTGAACTGATTTTGCAATAGACCTAACGGAAGGCCACAATCAGAAGTGCATATTAGACGTCACACTCGTAAGTTTATGCAAACCTATGCAGATGAGATGTTCCGTGCCAAGCGGTTGGACTCGCTCTAAAATCTCCAGCAGAACAGTCAAGCATGTCAGTCACATGAAATACAAGACATGGCACGTCCTGCAGGAACTATGAGATGCTCTGTTAGTTGATACCAACACAGCTATGCATCATCTGATCAGGGTTTTTTTTTTTGGCTCAAAACAAGTTCACCACAATGCTTCATACAGGGGCTACTGGTAAAAACACATGGCTGCAAAATACATAAAAGTTTCCATAAGATGGGACATCAGGTAGAAAGAACAGTGAAAACAACAAACAAGAAGTTTTCCTGAAATAATCACAAAGATAATTTATAAACAGCTTAGTGCAGCATGTTTAGTATTACTAGAGTACGATGAGCTTTTTAGAAACAAGGTTCTTTATTGTCGTTCGCATCACATGTGGTGCATGAGGTGGAACGAAATGGCGTACACGGTCCCAGTTACATCCACCAACGGCAAAAATATAAATCCTTAGACCCTTTAGTGCTTTAGATACAAGTTACAGCAAAGTGAAGACTGGGATGGTGGCACACATGACATGATGTGTGTAAACAGTCTGAATCAACAAAGCCTGATGGGAACATACTGGTACAGGTTTTGTGTATATGTAGGATAGAGGGCGTGTTTCTAACACACAAAAAGGTAAAGTGTCACGATAATAACTGCTGTAAACCAAGCAAATGCCTTGTCTTTTAATATTAAAGTAGCCTAAATATGCCCCCTGAAAGGAAACAATGTCATATACATGAAAGATCTTAAGTATTGCAAATTATATGAATAAATGTTTGCCGGTGTAGCATGTTCACGAATCTTTATCGAACACCTTTAATACAAATTAAGGCATTTTGTGCATTTATCAGAGAGTAAACGGTGACAGAAGGTCTGACTTTAAAAAGAGAGCGTGCAAATCATCTGGAAAATACCAATAGTTTCTTTTAAAATCAGTCACCATGAAGCGTAACAAATTAACTATCCAAGAAATGACTTGCCGTATTATTTGCTTTGCTTTGAATTGACAGAGAAGCAAATTAAACTAAGGCATTTGGGGATTTTCCCCAGTGCTGAAACATGTCCAGTGTAGATTATGTGCTGAGGGCATCTAAGGTCAGCAGATGTGGTGCAAAATTACAATGTAATCATCTTAACCCACTTGTGTAAGGCTTTGACAACATGTGTGCTGTTGTGGCAACTACTACTGCTCTCTTAATACAAACACTGACTAATTCAAAAGACAACGCCTTTCTGCTCAGAAGACTCACACAGTCTCCAAAAAGAATTGAGACTAAAGCCAACATGTTTGATTTCTGGCGTTCTTTACAGTAAGAAGGTGTGCACAGTCACAACACAGGCAGCTTTATATGTAACTTAATGGACCTTTCTTGCACTCTGTGCTCACAAACTTACGTTTTGTGGCGTTGATGAGGTTCTTTCCATCTTTGTACAGTTCTTTGATGAACCTGTTGGTTTTGTCCAGCTCTGCTTCGTGTGCTTTTATCTTCTCCCTGACGCTGGGGCTGTCCAGATAGCACTCACTGAACTCCAGCGGGTGTAGTCCCATTTCTGTGATAGCTTCGTGTTCCAACAGCGGGAAACTGTCCAAATGCTCCTTGTTACTGCTTGTAGCAAAAACAGAAAAGCCCCGTTACTATCAGACCGGTGCTCTTTACGCCGGAGGTTTCAGGTCAGGTTGAAAAAATAAAATAAAAACATAGCTACGTCAAGTAGCAGCGGGGCAGCGGCTAACGGTGGTTAGCATGGTAACTTCTGACACGGGGCAGTCATGGTGGGTGTTGTTCCACTGCTGTCATATAAACTGCGAGGAAAGGCAAACGGTTACTGTTACAAGGTGACGACAGCACGAGCGAAAGGTTTGATCAGAAGTCGAATAACGGGAGCAATTAAAAAGTCGCAGCTGCCGCGTCCAGGTTTCTCGCTGTCCATCAAACGTAGTCCACCCTGGTGAAATGACAGATTGAGAAACTCTGCTGACATCTGCGTGCGTGAAGCAAAACTTGCGTCAGAGAGTATATACTTAGCAAGATGATTCACTCCTATTTTCACCCGACTTAAGTGGACAGCCGGGTACTTGGTCACGTGAACACGCCGCACAAGGAGGCAGGCGTCGCCGCCATATTGGATGTGGCAAAAGTGAAGCTGCTTCATTGCTCCAGAGTGGCAATACGGAAAAACCTGTGCAAGGCCATTCTTTTCAAAGGTTTGTAACTAAGTTACACACATGTCGTGCACACATTATATATATATATATATATATATATATATATATATATATATATATATATCCGGATATATATATATATATATATATATCATTTTCTCCGGGTGCTCCGGTTTCCTCCCACAGACCAAAAACATGCATGTTAGGCTGATTGGTAACTCTAAATTGTCCCTAGGTGTGAGTGAGAGTGTGAATGGTTGTTTGTCTCGTTTGTCTCTATGTGGCCCTGTGATGGACTTGCGACCTGTCCAGGGTGTAGCCCGCCCCTCGCACAGTGATTGCTGGACATGGGCACCAGCAACCCCCGTGACCCAAAGTGGAGTAAGCGGGTAAAGATAATGGATGGATATATATTTAGGGAACATTCAAAGATGTAGTGGTCTTTATTGTCATTCACATCACATGTGATAGATGAGGTGGAACGAAATTGTGTATACAGGGTCCCAGGTACATCCAACAAAAGCAAATATACTGGGTAAAAAGAAACAGTAAATACGAGTCTAATATATAAACTAAAATACATGTTAAACTAAAGCCCAACGGTAAAGATCTAAGACATTCGCTAGTCACTAGTAGCGCAAAACAATACATCGAACAACAGTGGCACATTTCTCATAGGTTCGGTTCAGCTGTTATTCACACAATTAATGCGAGCACTAACTTAATGAATACACTAAATACTAATAGTACAAAAACAATATGCCAAACACAGCAGCACAAACATGAGTCTGTGTGAATAGATGAGTACGAATGACTACAGCAGCATGAAAAAAGTCATCAGCATGAGATCAGCAGCATGGATAGTCAGCAGCACATAGCAACAATCAAGTGGCATTACAGTGATTTTCTTTTTTTATTCACAGCAAAAATCCTGATTAGAGATTCATGAGTCTAACAGCCTCAGGGTTGCAGCTGTTCCTTAGTCTAGTGGTTAATGCTCCTCAACCTCCTGCCCAAAGGAAGCGGGGCAAAAAGTGTGTGTGGTGGGTGAGTGGGGTCCTTCATGATTCAGTTGGCCCTCTTCCTGTACCTGGAGGTGTAAATGCCTGTGACGGTGGGGAGACTGAGTCCAACAGACTTCTGTGCAGCCTTCACCACTCTCTGCAGAGCTTTTCTTTCTGCAGCTGTGCAGCCTCCATGCTACACGTTGATGCTGGAGCACAGGATGCTCTCCACTGCACACCACAGTAGCTTTCAACACCAGATGATCTGTGTTTTGATCCTGTATGCTCCACACTGGTTTGTCGTCATTATCTGCATCGTTTTTATGTCTATATTCTGATTGACCTCATTTTGTATTTTGCTTGGTGTGTTACCTGTTGTTTTGTCTGTACAGCACTTTGGTTGGCCTTGTAGCTGTTTTAAGTGCTTTATAAATAAAGTGGTATGGTATGGTACCTGTAGAAGGAGGTGAGGACTGAGCTTCCCAGACCCGCTCGCCTCAGCTTCCTGAGGAAGTAGAGTCTCTGATGAGCTTTCTTGATCATGCTGGTAGTTGTTGCCCCAGTGAGGTTGTCGTTCAGGTGCACACACAAGTACTTTTTTCTGGACACCACTTCCATCGCAGATCCTCCTATGTTCGGTGATGGTGGTGCTGTTTGGTAGGTGTGTTTGTTCCGTCTGAAGTCCACGACCATGTCCTTTGTCTTCTTCATATTGATGTGAAGGTTGTTCTTCCTGCACCAGCTCTCCAGGTGTTCCACCTCCTGCCTATATAGTTGGACTCATCCTTGGACTCATCGTTGTTTGTGATGCATCCCACTAGTGCAGATCTTGATCTTTTGTACTCTTTGATTTTGTATAAATTACATTAAGTCTGAACATTGGCCATTAAACAGCTGTTAAATAAACATCAACACTTAATCTGCGCTTATAAAGCGCATTTTGTAACTAGTTTTTACTGCTAGGAATTTTAAGCCCATTAAACTTGACTACATGTGAGCGGAACCTTCGATTTAGGAAATATTTTCTTCCGTGCAGCTTTACGCGCGGACTATAAAGTGCAGCCGTTTTTTAACGTGGTTTGTTGTCTTATTCAGCAAATGGTGAAAATGTGTCTATAAACGGAATTGGAGTAAAAAGAAATATTGCAATGACTCTCCTGAAGGTTATCGTGTGGGTTCGGTTCAGTTTGTAGATAGGAGGATGATGGTTGAGGCTAACAGATGTTTACGACTTGATGTTTACATTAGCTTGTTGAGGACAACTCCACGCGGTTTGATTTGTTTTTCCAGACAACAACCCTGCCTTATCTTACACAGCTGACAGTAAGTGTGTCTAAACTGTCTACGATGCATATTAACGACCATTTCATTATAGTTTCTCAAGTGTAGTATTAGGAAATAATTATAACTCGACTAAAGTAAAGCCGAAGTGAAAACACTTGAGTCGCTTCATTTTTCAGACACGTGATGCTGCTGCAGACCTTGTTCGCCTACATAGCTTTAAAATATGTTTACTTGGTTCCGTTCGACCTATTATGCCTTTAAAAGTACAATCTTAACATGTTATTACAAAATTATCATCAACAGTAAATGTTTTTATTGAAGTGCTGAAAAATAGTAAAAAAAAAAAAACCCGGCAGATTTTCTTTGCATCGAAACATAGCATACCTGCATAAAACTAAAACCTAATGTATTACACGGTTAAATACATAATTGATGCATAAACATGAATATGTAAAAATATAAATAGTTAAAATAATAATAATAACCTTATTCTTCTTTTGGCTTTAACTGTTTCGTTGCTCGCCACTTCATCTCATTCTGTGTTCTGCATCCTCTGTTCTCACTCCATCTACCTTCATGTCTTTTTTAACTGCATCCATAAATCTCCTTTGTCTTTTTTCTGGCAGCTGCATTTTTATTTATCCTTGTAACAATATACCAACTGTCCCTTATCTGCACATGTCCAAACCATCTCAGTCTTGCCTCACTATTTTCACAGTGCATCCAGAAAGTATTCACAGCGCTTCACCTTTTCCACATTTTGTTATGTTACCGCCTTATTCCAAATTGTATTAAATTAATCTCTTTCCTCAAAATTCTATATACATTACCCCATTATGACTATGTGATTTTTTTGGGAGATTTTTGCAAATTTATTTAAAATAGAAAATCACATTTACCGAAGTATTCACAGCCTTTGCTATGAAGCTCAAAGTTGAGCTCAGATGCAGTTTCCACTGACCATCCTTGAGATGTTTCTACAACTTAAATGGAGTCCACCTGTGGTAAATTCAGTTGACTGGACTTGATTTGAAAAGACACACACCTGTCTATATAAAGGTCCCAAAGCTGACAGTGCATGTCAGAGCACAAACACCCAAGCATGAAGTCAAAGAAATTGTAGAGCTCCGAGACAGGATTGTGTTGAGGCACAAATCTGGGGAAGGATACAGAAAATGTCTGCTGCTTTGAAGGTCTTAATGAGCTCAGTGGCCTCCATCATTTGTAAATGGAAGAAGTTTGGAACAACCAGGACTCTTCCTAGAGCTGGTCAACCATCTAACCTGAACAACTGGGGGAGCCTTAGTCAGTGGAGTGACAAAGAACAGAAGGACAACCATCTCTGCAGCAATCCACCAATCATGCTTGTATGGTAGAGTGGCCAGACAAAAGTCAATCCTTATTAAAAGAAACATGGCAGCCTTCCTGGAGTTTACCTAAAGGCACATGAAGGACTCTCAGACCAGGAGAAACAAAATTTTCTGGTCTGATGAGACAAAGATTGAACTCTTCGATGTCACGCGTCATGTTCGGAGGAAACCAGGCCAATACCATCCCTACAGTGAAGCGTGGTGGTGGCAGCATCATGCTATGGGGATGTTTTTCAGCAGACTAGTCAGGATAGAGGGAAAGATGAATGTAGCAATGTAGAGACATCCTGAATGAAAACCTGCTCCTGAGTGCTCTGGACCTCAGACTGAGGCGAGGTTTAATTTTTCAGCAGGACAACGACCCAAAGCACATGGCCAAGATCTCAAAGGAGGAGCTTCAGGACCACTCTGTGAAGGTCCTGGAGGGGCCAAACCATAGTCCAGACTTGAATCTGGTTGACCATCTCTGGAGATATCTGAAAATGGCTGCACAGATGTCTCCCGTCCAACCTGATGGAGTTTGAGAAGTTCTGCAAAGAAGAATGGGGCAAACTGCCTAAAGATGGGTGTGTTAATGTTGAAACATCATATTCAAAAATACTGGAGGCTGCAACTGCTGCCAAAGGTGGATCAATAAAGGATTAAGCAAAGGCTGTGGATACTTAGATACATGTGATTTCTTAGTTTTCTATTTTTAATAAATTTGAAAAAATCTCAAAAAATATTTTTCACATTGCTATAATGGGGTAATGTGTGTAGAATTATGAGGAAAGGGATTAATTTAATACAATTTGGAGTAAGGCCGTAACATAATGTGTGGAAATACTTTCCGGATGCACTGTATAATCCTGACTACTGTCTTCGGTCCTTTCACTGTCCAACTTCCACTTTGCTAACATCTTCTCCTGGATAACGTCCTGCATTTCACTATTCAATAATAATAATAACCTAAAAGTATTTTCTCCCTTTTTTTTTAAGGATGCCTAATACTAGTGCGAGGCCCAAGCATGGCAGGAGGAACCGAAGGCGACGCAGACTGGAGGACCCTGCCAGGAACCAACTGGTCTCCAGTTCTCTGGAGAGTGCGCAACAGTGTCTGTACAACCAGGATTATGGAACGGCATTTGTGCACTACCTCCTGGTCCTCAGCCTCGCACCTGTGTTCAAGGACTTTGCGAGGGTAATAGCATAATTTCTCTTAAAACACTGAATTCATTGTTTTTTTAATACAATGATCTGCTAAGACCTAAGTAAGAAAACTACCCATGTTCTAAGAGGGTCTAAAGAAACTAAATCATACTTTTCTTTCTTAATGGTTAAACCCTTTCTTGTCAGACTGTAAAACACACTTTAATGAGTGTCATAACCTATAAATGATTTTGTCCCTGCTATTTTTGTTTTGTTTGTTTTCTTTTTCTCTGCCTAAAGATTTCAATTTGTTAATCATTTTGCAAGTTTTTTTTGGCGTTAGAGCCACAGAAATATCCTGATGCATGCTCAATAATCCAGCTACAAAAATCATCTGTTTGTAGCTTTTAAAGCAGTTTTACTGTGAACACTGTGATGTGTTTTGATCATCCTTGTCAGTAACCTATTATATTTGCATCTTCTGTGCTTTTTTCCCTTAAAGATTCTGGCAGCAGAAAAACAGAACACCATTGATTGACCCACATGCTGATTTATTAGGACTGTGTTCTTTTTATAAATCCTTTACCTTCAGAGAGTTGTTTGACTTAATGCAGCCTGAAAGTTACAGTATAGTTTCACCAGTAGTACACAACCCTTTCTCCACAAATTGGTCAGTTTTTTTTTTTTAAAGACGTCTGATGTAATAAAAGTCTGCTGTTGAAGGTTTAATGGATTTTCGGGGGGGGGGGGGCGGGTTTCTGGTCATTTTCATTTCTTATTGACATTACAACCTAAATAAGTAGTTAACAGAAACATTTTTAACCTATTTTTATTATAAATCTATTATTTTTTTCCATGCATGTTGTCATTTTTTAGTGCAGCAAAAACTTTCGTTGACATTTTCATTTCAGGATTCGTTTAGGTTCACTCTCCGTAAATGGGCAGAAGAGTTGAACTTGGTGGGACGCATTCAGGAACTTTTTGACTGCTATGAACAGGCACTGGAAATTTTCCCCAACGACGAGGTTATCCTCAACAGTTTGGGCGAACACCTGTTCCGGTACTATTCTTTAATACTCTTAAGGCATATTTATACATTTATACAGCAGTTTATGTAATTTAAAACTATGTTTTCACTTCTTATCATCCAGAATGGGATTTAGAGATGAAGCTGCAGCTCATTTTCACAAAGCCTTAAAGTTGAGACCAGACTACCCAGAAGCCAGGGAGAACTTTTACCGTGTGGCTAACTGGCTGGTGGAGCGCTGGCACTTCCTTATGCTCAATGACCACGGCAGGAACCTAAAGTACCAGCAAGCCATTCATAAGGCTGTTCAAAATGGCTGTAACACTGTACTTGATATCGGTACTGGCACTGGAATACTCAGGTGAGATATTTTTCATATAAATACATATTTTATTTTATTAAACTATGTATTAGCTTTTGCAAGTTATTACAATTTCATCTCAGTTAAAACAGATGTAGAAGTCTGCTTTTGCAGGTTTAATGGATTTTGTGTATTTTTTTTCTGGTAATTTTCATTTTTTATTGACATTACAATCTAAATAAGTATTTTCCCCTGCAAACGTTGCACTGCTGTATAAGTCGCATCAGTCCAAATATGTTTAATGAAGTGGAAAAAAACCCATAAATATGTCGCATCCATTATGCGTCACCGCTGATCACCTGGAAACGTGGGCCGGTGTTGTGCTAAAAATCGATTGGCTGCCAAATGGCGGCCGTGGGAGCGTGCATGGGAGGACTTTAACAAGAATTTAACAAGATTAACACTTAAAAACAATTATTTGTTTGCTTGACATTATACCAAAGGTGTGTCTCAGTTTAACTTTTCCTTGATAAATGCACTTTAATGATCAAATCAGCTGCATGTTGCCTGGGCGTCATGGTGAAATGCAGCTGATTTGAAGTTTGCTTCAGGAGTTCCAGAGCAAGACGAAGGTATCCCGTATGGCAAGCAAAGTGTTTCATTAATAGCCACTTTTACCTATTAATGAGACACTTGACTTGCCATATTACTTGAGGGCCCTCTAGCGGCTGAAAATGGTAATGTTCAATATTTTCCATGTCAGAATGGATTAAATCATCAGATTTCAGTCAAAAATGATCTTATAAATATGGGGAAAAAACATAAATATGTCGCTTCGCCGTATAAGTCGCAGGACATGCTAATTTATGCAAAAAGATTTGACTTATACAGCAAAACGTACAATAGTTGACAAATTGTGGACAGTTGTTTCCTACCTCATGCAAGATTTTAAACATGAGCACAAACTACTTCTAACATCCTGTTTCTGTTCATCAAGTATGTGCGCTAAGAAGGCTGGGGCTTCTGAGGTGTACGCCTGTGAGCTGTCAAAGACCATGTATGAGCTGGCCTGTGAGGTGGTGACCGCCAATGGGATGGACGGTAGCATCAACATTCTCCATAAGAAATCTCTTGAGATGGATGTGCCGACGGACATCCCACACAGGTGCATTTTCTTATGCGTGTGCTTTTGAAGTTCGCAGAGATCTGTTTGTGTTGTTTGAGTGATGCAGAATGCTCTGTTTTGAATTTCCTGAAAACAACCTTTTCCCTGCATAGAGTGTCATTAGTGGTGACAGAGACAGTAGATGCAGGATTGTTTGGAGAGGGCATCATAGAGAGTCTTATTCATGCCTGGCACCACCTCCTGCTGCCTCCAAAGGTAAGTCCCACACAGGAAAAAACATGAAGTTGAAAATGGATGACACTTTTTGTTTAACCCAAAAACTAGAGGAAGGCCACAGAACTGGATCAAGAACCTGCTGTTCAACATGTACAAATGCACTGATCAGTTAGATTGTACAAAAGCAACATATATTCAATTCTGTTTATTTATACAGCACCAAGTCAAACATAAGTCACCTCAGGGCACTGAACAGAAACATTCATATATAAAATAATAATTTAACACTATTTATCTGAGGAGCAGACTGTTTTGAATTTAACTCCATCACAGAACTTGAGCAAGCATGAAGGTGACAGTGGAAAGGAAAAACTCCCTCATGAGGAAGAGAATGAGGAAACCTTTAGCAGAACCAGGCTCAGGACAAGTGGCCATCTGCTTCAACCGGCTGGGTTTGAGAGGAACAGATACACAATGGCAGGTCAAGAATCACATGTTAAGATAGAAATAGTATCAAATGAAAACTATTAAATTTTAACAATTCATTTAAGGAAATGAGATCAATTTGTCATCTAGTAGGCTTAAGGCAGTATAACAAGCCAACCCTGACTATAGGATTTATCAAAAAAGGAAAGTCCAGTCTTAAAAGTGGACAATGTGTCAGCCTCGCGGACAGAAACTGGAAGTTGGTTCCACAAGAGAGGAGCCTGATAACTGAAAGATCTTCCTCCCATTTTGCTTTTGGGAACTCTAGGAACCGCGAGTAAGCCTGCAGTCTGAGCGAAGTGCTCTGTTAGGAAAATATGGAACACTAAGATCTGTAATATAAGATGGAGCTAGGTTGTTGAGGGCTTTGTAGGTTAGAAGTAAGAATTTGAATTCTATTCTGGATTTGACAGGGAGCCAATGGGGAGAAGCTAAAACTGGAGAGATTTGATCTCTCCCACTAACTCCAGTTAAGACTCTGGCAGCAGCATTTTGGATCAACTGAAGACTTAAAAAAAAAAAGTATTTGGATACCCAGATAACAAACCATAGAAATAGTCCAGTCTAGACGTGACAAATACATGAACCAGATTTTCTGGATCATTTTTTAGAAAAGATAACATAAAGGGCATGTTTGTGTAGATTCTCATTCCTTCAGGACATTTCTAATCACAAGTGTTTTAAATCAAAGCAACTGCATTTTTTTTTTTTGTTCGCTTCATTGTCTTCACCGACAAGGCACAAAGTCCAGTTACTTTGTTTTGAAACATAAGGTAAATGTCAGCAGAAACAAATATAAAGCAGCAATTCTTATCACTGTCCACATCTGGTATCTGTATCTGTACATCTGTATTTACACGTTTGCTCATTTTGAGCTGGTTTGGACTTATTACTGAGGAGTTAGTCAATTTGATCCTTAGTCATGTCAGACTTGATGTCTTATTTGCATTTTTTTTATGCAGCCTACCTTGTTTTTGTGTTTGTGTTTAGTTGAGCAGCTTATAGTTGAAAGCTGCACTATGGTTATTTAAAGCATCCTTTTTTAAATTTTATAGAGTGATGAGAGTGAATTTCAAGAAGTGTCTAGTACAGGACGGGTCATCCCAGCTGGAGCCACTGTGTTTTGTATGGCTATTGAGTCTCTGGAGATCCGACGGCATCACAGGTAGACTCCATGTTTTCCTCTTAAAAAGACGTCTCTCATTAGTGATCTTATATATTGCTTCTTTTCTTTTCTGTAAATTATTCTAGTGTTTGTACCAACACAGAGGATTTAAGTTGTTGTTGTCCTTGAGGCAACAGTCTGAGTTATCTGGACCTCTCAGGAGTTTTTTTTTTAAATGCAGACTCTGTGTGACACAAGTGGGCGGTCTTTCAATGGCTGTAGCCGGGGAACTCCGCAGTCCAGTGAGCTGCTGCTCTGAGCCCGATGACTCCATGGAGCCATACACCACAGAGAGACTCAGCAGGCTGCCCGGAGGATACAGACCTCTCACACAGCCTTTTACAGCTCTCACCATAGATTTCAACAATGTACATGTAAGTGGAAAATAAATTATTATTTTATGTGACTAAAATTTAGTCTTGTAATTCTAAGACATTAGCTGCCTCGAAGCTTAAATTTTGCACATCAGTGCCAGCTAGTTCATTTAATGACACATGCAAAACTAAATATTTAATAAAGGAGTGTTTACCAGCATAATATGTGGAATAATTTGTTGACTTGCATGGCTAAAAGAGAAGTTTCTCACAGATATGTTGCAGTAATAAAACTGAATATAACAAGGTTGAGTCAGATCCTCAGGACAGATTCTTCTTTGTTAAAACATTTTGTCTTTTTATCCATAAAACTTATTCAATCTAGGAGCTGCAACAAGCTCAGTCTTATAAACAGCACCTTTACATAATAAATCAACCAGTTTGCTGGTGACACCCAAAACTAGTTGGTTGTTCACATGCAAAAGGAGGACTATCAACTGATCGTTAGTGCCCTGATGGCCGCTTGCTATTTACAGAGGGCTGAGTGATAATAGCAATAACAGCATTAAGAGGGGGACAGTTAACAATTCAATTCAATTCAAAAATACTTTATTAATCCCAAAGGGAAATTATTTGTTGTTGTAACTTGTTATCCTCATTTCATTAAGAGATGTTGTAGATACTGATGGCTGTAGACAGGAAGGATCTCTTGTAAAGATCCATCCCACAGTGGATTCTAAGAAACTGGCTGCAGATGCCGTCCGATCCGTCCACCCAGACTCAACTGGCCTCTCGGTTCCCCGAGCTGTAGGATCGCCCGAATGCTGGGCAGAACTCCTCCCAGAGCGATGGCCACTCCTCCCAGCAGTCTGCCGAGCTCCTCATCGCTGTGGACAGCCAACTGTAGGTGCCGAGGGACGATCCTGTCCTTCCACTGTCATGAGCCGTGTTTCCTGCTAGTTCCAGGATCTCAGTGGTCAGGCACTCAAGCACAGCTGGCAGGTAGATGAGAATGCATCCACAGAACATCCTTTTCAACTCATTTGAGATTTGGGGCTGTAGTTGAGATATTATTTGAGCTTTTGATATGTTAAATCAGCTGCTGTTTGTTGTAGAAAATTGCCTTGTTGCCATGGTTACGCATCATAACAAATGTCCAAAACTAAAAAATGTTTCAGTAAAAATCCTTCCAGCTGCACAGGATCTGACACCAGAGGAAACAATCGTCCAAAAAAAATCTGATTTACATCCAGAAAAAGAGGAATTAAAGTTTCCAAAAGCCAAATCTCAGAATGAAATTAACAGAGCTGCTCCAACATGCAGCCACCTTGAGCGGCGCAATTCTAGACCTAAGAGAACACGATGCAACCTGTCAATCAATCCAGTAGGCTTGTCAGCAACTGACCAATCTGCAATTGCAATTTGTCCTGAAGTGAAATGCTCCTTACCTGCTGGAGCTTCACCCCAGTTTCCTCCTATAACATTGTCAGGGTTTTGCATTACAAACACTTTAAGGTCATAGGGATTTCATGAAAAATCATCAGAAAAAATGGTTAAACGTTGTCGAAGAGGAACATGCAAGTCAGACACGCATTACCCTGAACGTTTAGAGCATGTGTCAAGCGCAAGGCCTTAGGGCCAAATGTGGCCCTCGTTGACATCTGGCCCCCAAGATGTTATTTTAAATGTTCAGTACTTTTATCACTTTAATTTTTTCAGTAATCTTTGATCATGATGTGAAAAGTGCAACAGAGAACGTCTAATGAGACCAATCATACTCTTGTTGAGGAACCTGTGATCATGATAAGATGTTGGGTATCTAACTTGAGTTAATGTAGACTCTGAAACCAGCCCTTAGTTTGAAGAAGGTTTTAATTTTGGCCCCCCTTTGTAAGTTGGTTTGACACCCCTGATTTAGAGGATTTCATACAGTTTATTCAATTTCCAAAAACTAAACAGAGTCTGTAAATGTAAAAGATGATAAAGGCCTGCGGCCGACTGCATGAGCAGCTGAATACAACAGTGATCAATGGGATCTGTCACATGTTTGTCTGTACGAAGGTAACTGCAAATAAAACTTGAATTTTTTTGTCATCATTACATTCTATGCTTAGTGGTAGGGGAGTGGTGGTGCAGAGGTTAGAGAAAGTGGGCCTGTGATTGGAAGATCGCTGGTTCAACTCTCGGTACCGACAACATCAAAATGTGGGTGGGAAAGGTGAAGCATCCACACATGCTTCCATCCTCATTTACCCCACTCTGGGCCCTTGAGCAAGGCCCTTAACCCCCACCATTTGCTCCCCGGGCACCTTAGATGGCAGCAGAGAGGGCTGTGGTAGCTCAGTGGTCAGTGGTTGTGTCAGGAAGGGCATCCAGCGTAAAAACAATTGCCAAGACTTCATATGATTTAGTTTGTTGTAGTGACCCCTGAAGAAGGGAGCAGCCGAAAGAAAAAAAAAATGCTATGCTTAGTAGTTAAATTAATGCTAATTAATTAATTAATTAATGTTAATGCTTGAAGCTCGTTATACTTTGTTTTGTGTGTTTTGTTAGTAAATATAGTATGTTGCAACTTCTGGTAGCACAATCTAAAAAAGTTAAATCTGGTCCTCTGGACATTCAAAAAACAAAACAAAGCAAACAAAAAAAATGTAGAAACGTTTAGTCGTTCATCCGAAACACTTCCTCAGTCTGAGGTGCTGTATTCAGCTCAGTCTTATAAGTAGCACCTAAATAGCATCATGGAGACTGATGAAACAATGGTCTCTTTTGATGTCACATCACTCTTTACGTGCATTCCTGTTGATGATGCAGTAGAGGTGGTCAGTTTAAAATTAAAATCAGACACCACTCTGAGCAGCAGGACCACGCTTTCCACAGAACAACTGTGTCAACTCTTGAAACTGTGCCTGCAGTCAACCTACTTCACATATGGGGAGCAATATTATAGGCAGAAACATGGGTGTGCTATGGGGTCTCCAGTTTCTCCTATTGTTGCCAACCTGTACATGGAGGAGGTAGAAAAGAGAGCCTTGACGTCCTTTTCAGGGACACCACCAAGTCATTGGTTCAGGTATGTTGACGACACCTGGGTTAAAATCAAATCTCAGGAAGTCCAACATTTCACTGATCACATCAACTCTGTGGATAAATACATCAAGTTCACACGAGAAGATGTAAAAAATGGCAGGTTGGCTTTCTTGGACTGTGAGGTCTCAGTCTCTGATAGAGGACATTTGCAAACTGAGGTGTACCGCAAACCCACCCACACAGCCCAGTATTTGCAGTTTGACTCCCATCACCCTTTGGAGCACAAGTTAGGAGTCATCAGGACTCTGTACCACAGAGCAGACAACATCCCCACTAACTCAGGAGCCAGGCAAAAGGAGAAATCCCACACAAGGCAGGCTCTAGAGCAATGTGGATATCCTAACTGGGCCTTCCTGAAAGCAGAGAAGAAACCCAAACAGGACTCCAGTCAGCCATCAGGTGAAAAGGTGGAACCCAGACCAGTGGTCATTCCATATGTTACAGGAGTATCAGAGAAACTGAGATGTTTATTTTCTAAACGCAACGTCCCAGTGGCTTTTAAACCCCAAAATATATTACAGCAAAGACTGGTTCATCCCAAAGATCCAGTCCCCAACACAAACAGAGCAATATTGTGTATGCTGTTCAGACACCAGTGTCAGGAGGGTGATCAGTCTTACATCGGGGAAACTAAACAGCCTCTGGCCAAAAGGATGGCCCAGCCCAGAAGATCAACACCATCAGGCCAGGACTCTGCGGTCTACACTCATCTCCAGGCCAGCGGTCACTCTTTCAGGGATGAAGATGTTCACATCCTGGATAGAGAGGAACGATGGTTTGAGAGAGGAGTAAAGGAGGCCATCTTTGTGAAAAGAAATTGTCCATCATTAAACAGGGGTGGAGGCCTCCGGGTTCAACTGTCCCCCTCTTACAATGCTGTTATTGCTAGTATCACTCAGACCCCTGTGAACAGTAAACAGCCATCAGTGTGCTAATGATCCATTGTTAGGCTGATGGCCCTTCTTGATCATGTGAGCAGCTGGTTTTGGTTGTCAGCAGCAAACTGGTTGATCCACTCTGAGAAGGTGCTATTTAAGAGACTGAGCTGAATACAGCACCTCAGACTGAGGAAGTCTTTAGGATGAAAGACGAAACGTTTACTTTTTTTTTTGTTGTTTTGCTTTGTTGTGTTTTTTGAATGTCCAGAGGACCAGATTGAACTTTTTTAGATTTTTCTACCTGGATTATTGAGCATGCATCAGGATATCTGGTAGCCCAAGTTTAACCTTTGTTATGATCAGTTAAAACTAAACCGATTCTGCACAAAGTGTTCATTAGGTGGCATAATATAAAATTTACACTCTTAATACATACTGCATTTCATTATAAATTATTGCAGTGTTGTTCTACGGCATGAAAACATCTACTGCATTAACTATTTTATGTTATTAGTATCTTTTGCCTGTCTTCTTTGTCTTAATGTAGGCTGATAAGACAGAAATGCCTCATACCTCAGGTAACGCCCTGAGCTGTGTGTGTGTAGAGGGTGGTGGTGGTGGGAGAGGTTAAGCTCTGAGCTTCACTACCTCCACCATTACAGCTATCTTGTTTGTCGGAGGTTAGCTCACCCTGGGTTACATTTTTGTGTGGGCAGAGCAACCTTACAGTTCACATCATGTCAAATGCACGGAGGCCTCCATCCCTGTTTAATGACGTGTGGGCTCTCTTCACATAGATTGTTTCCTTTAATGGCCCTGCATACTGCATCTGAAGCAGCGAAATTGGCTCACGTTTACAAAGCTCTGTGACGAAAATTGCATAATTTTGTTCTCAGAGCAGCTTCACTTGTCCTTTCTTGACACAAGGCCCAGGTCAAATTGTTTCTCATACGCTTATGGTAAATGGTAAATGGACTGTACTTATATAGCACCTTTCTATCTTATTTCAAGATACTCTAAGCGCTTTACACTACAATCTGTGTCCTCATTTACCCATTCATACAGCACTCTACTAGATCTCTACAAAGCTAAGTGAACAAATAATTCTAATGAGCCTAGTCAGTGCTTTATCACATTCATACACCTATGGGACACACATCAGAGGCTATGAGAGGTTCAGTGTCTTGCCCAGGAACACTTCGACATTTGACTGCTGGTGGATTCAAACCCCCCAACTCTCGCATTGGAGGACGACTGCTCTAACCACTCAGCTACAGCCGCACCTTATGTGCCAAGTGTTGTCTAAATGGTCAGAAGTTTGTGGGTTTGTTTGTCAATATGGAAATGTGCTCAAGCATTCAGCTGTACGAGTCTTCAAACACACTAAATAAGTCACATAGTCATAAACTCCTGGATGGAAATTGTGCAGACATTGTGTATGGAGAAGTCTTGTCTGGGGGCAGCACGGTGGTGCAGTTGGTAGATCTGCCCCCTCTCAGCGAGCAGGTTGCCTTGGTTAAAATCCCGGCCTGGGGCCTTTCAGGGGGAAATTTACATGTTCTCTCCGTGCATGCATGGCTTTTCTCAGGGAAATCAAGTTTCCTCCCACTGACCAAAAACATGCGTGTTAGACTGATTGGTAACTCTGAATTGTTCCATGGTGTGAGTGAGAGAGTGAATGATTGTTTGTCTCTATGTGTCACTGTGATGGACTGGAGACCTGTCAATGGTGTCCCCTGCTTCTTGCACAGTGACTGCTGGATATGGGCACCAGTGACCCCTGCGACCCGAAAAGGAGGAAGTGGGTAACGATAATGGCTGGGTGGAGTCTGTCTGATGAAAAGTGTGGCGCTTTCTTCATGATAGATTTGTGGCCAAATGGCAGATGTAGGGATGGAGTGGAGACTCTGGTGGGAAGAAACCCACCTGGTGTCATGCACAGCAGCAGGAGAGTTTTTTTTTTCATTCATTCAACCTTTATTTAAACAGATAAGTTACATTGAGCCTCAAAGACTCATTTACAAGAAAGACCTGTTTGGACAGACAATAAAAAGTGGTGAAAAATGATACATAGGGTTTGGAGACAAAAAAAAATTCCAAACACGCTTTTGACCTCTGTTTGAAGGTAAAAAATGTGATAGTGAAAAAAATCTTGCACACTGGCACATAATGACGCTGACATTATGCGGGGGGATGGGGGTGTGTGGACGCAAGTGCAGTGAACAGCCAGAGACGACACACAGAGGCACTGCAGAGTTCAGATAAAATCACTCAGTACATGAAGTCCTCTCTGGAGAGAGCCGTGCACACTCGGGAGGTGTCGAGGACGACCAGAGACGAATCCAGAGTCCTGAAATGATGACATAATGTTTATTCAGCTGGTCTCCTCTGAAAAGTCCATGGAAATTCCTAAGTAGGAGAGCAGGGAGGGGTTAGAGCATCAGGTTTACAAAACTTTCCAGGCAGGTTGAGATAAGATGGAATGTCAAGGCCAGTCAGGAAGCCGAATTCAGATAAACACGATTGTTTTGGGGACAGGCAGAACTTTAATGACATCTACCTTGAGTCTGTGTCAGTCCACTCGGATTTGAAACATCCAAATTAAATGACCATACCATTGGAATGTGCCTGAGGATAATCCCCGAGATCTGATCCATTCTGCCAAGAGTCTGGGTGCTCGAGGCACAAACCAAGCCATCATATAAGGCAGGCAGCCTGACCAGGTCCAGATTTGCTGCAGACGACTTCCTTGTTTGTTGATAGACCAGCAACCAGCCGAATCCAAAAAATCAGGAACCAGTTATCATAAATCCAATTATAAATGCATCCTTAAAAATGACAGCAGATATAGACACGTCATCAAGTCTTCAAAGTCGATGAGATATCCAGCTGTGTGCATGCCAACAGGGCAAATCGGCTCGCCTAAAGCCTGTCTTCTCTTCGAATAAATGTTATCAATTGTGTTGAGGGACCAACTGACCAAATCCAAGTCCATAGTTACGATTCGGAAGATTTGTAGAAGAGAGACTCTAAAGCAGTTTCACAGACAGGACAGAGCAAAAGCAAAGCAGAGAGGGAGAGGAGGAGACGTCCGCCCTAGAGTGTTGAATGTTTTCCAGGAGTTCTGCGCCTGTGTCTCATGGACTATGAAAGATGTGTGTAGAAACGAACCTCCGACTGTCACGTAACCATACGTTGACTGCTCAGCTTCAGGTGGAGTATGCCGGGCCCTTTACTCCTCTCTCAAACCAACATTCCTCTCTATCAAGGACGTACACATCTTCATCCCTAAAAGAGTGATGGTTGTGTCAAGAAGGGCATCTGGAATAAAAACAATTCCCAAGTATTTGTGCAGAGTTGATTTACTGTGGCAACTCCTGAGGAAGGGAGTAACTAAAAGAAGAAAAAAAAATAAATTGATTTTTGTCAGCATAATTTTTATCCTAATGGAAGCATATATAATGCAATGAGTATTTGTCCAAACACTGAGCCCTGAAGAACTCCGTGATTAACTCTGGTGTCTGAAGAAAATTCATTATTAACATGAACAAACTGGACTCTGTCACACTTGCGAAAGTATTCAGCCCCCTTGAACTTTTCAACCTTTTGCCACATTTCAGGCTTCAAACATAAAGATATAAAATTTTAATTTTTTGTGAAGAATCAACAACAAGTGGGACACAATCGAAAAGTGGAATGAAATTTATTGGATGTGTCAAACTTTTTTAACAAATAAAAAACTGAAAAGTGGGGCGTGCAATATTATTCGGCCCCTTTACTTTCAGTGCAGCAAACTCACTCCAGAAGTTCAGTGAGGATCTATGAATGATCCAATGTTGTCCCAAATGACTGATGTTGATTAATAGAATCCACCTGTGTGTAATCAAGTCTCCGTATAAATGCACCTGCTCTGTGATAGTCTCAGGGTTCTGTTCAAAGCGCAGCGAGCATCATGAAGACCAAGGAACACACCAGGCAGGTCCGATATACTGTTGTGGAGAAGTTTAAAGCCGGATTTGGATACAAAAAGATTTCCCAAGCTTTAAACATCCCAAGGAGCACTGTGCAAGCAATCATGTTGAAATGGAAGGAGTATCAGACCACTGCAAATCTACCAAGACCCGGCCGTCCCTCTAAACTTTCATCTCGAACAAGGAGAAGACTGATCAGAGATGCAGCCAAGAGGCCCATGATCACTCTGGATGAACTGCAGAGATCTACAGCTGAGGTGGGAGAGTCTGTCCATAGGACAACAATCGGTCATACACTGCACAAATCTGGCCTTTATGGAAGAGTGGCAAGAAGAAAGCCATTTCTCAAAGATATCCATAAAAAGTGTTGTTTAAAGTTTGCCACAAGGACCTGGGAGACACACCAAACATGTGGAAGAAGGTGCTCTGGTCACATGAAACCAAAATCAAACTGTTTGATCGCAATGCAAAATAATATGTTTGGAATAAAAGCAACACAGCTCATCACCCTGAACACACCATCCCCACTGTCAAACATGGTGGTGGCAGCATCATGGTTTGGGCCTGCTTTTCGTCAGCAGGGACAGGGAAGATGGTCAGAATTGATGGGAAGATGGATGGGGCCAAATACAGGACCATTCTGGAAGATAACCTGTTTGAGTCTGCAAGAGACCTGAGACTGGGACGGAGATTTATCTTCCAACAAGACAATGATCCAAAACATAAAGCCAAATCTACAATGGAATGGTTCACAAATAAACGTATCCAGGTGTTGGAATGGCCAAGTCAAAGTCCAGACCTGAATCCAATCGAGAATCTGTGGAAAGAGCTGAAGACTGCTGTTCACAAACGCTCTCCATCCAACCTCACTGAGCTCGAGCTGTTTTGCAAAAAGAATGGGCAAGAATTTCAGTCTCTCCATGTGCATAACTGATAGAGACAAACCCCAAGAGACTTGCAGCTGGAACTGCAGCAAAAGGCGGCGCTACAAAGTATTAACGCAAGGGGGACGAATAATATTGCACGTCCCACTTTTCAGTTTTTTATTTGTTAAAAAAGTTTGACACATCCAATAAATTTCATTCCACTTCACGATTGTGTCCCACTTGTTGTTGATTCTTCACAAAAAATTAAAATTTTCTATCTTTATGTTTGAAGCCTGAAATGTGGCAAAAGTTTGAAAAGTTCAAGGGGGCTGAATACTTTTGCAAGGCACTGTATGATTGAAACCGTTATAGTCATTTTGTTAATCCCAACGTTTGAGCGATTAATTAATTAATTAAATTTGGTGTTTGATATATGATAGCTACTTCAAGATTGTTAATATCCCTGAAATGAAACGTATTCTCAGGAGACATGAACATTACACTCAAACATTATTTTATTTTGGAATGATGTTAGTGTCTCTGTTAAAGCTTTTTTTGGTGCCTTCTATAACTACTGTGTGTTTGAAATATGCAGGAACTGGAAGGCCTGAGCTCAAGAGAAGTCCAGGAGATGTGTCTGCCTGTCACTCAAGAAGGACAGCTGCATGCTCTGGCTGTGTGGTTCCAACTCCACCTGGACAAGGAGAACAGTCTGTCCACCGGTCCCCAGGAAGACACCTGCTGGGAGCAAGCCATCTACCCCATCCACAGTACAACATGTAAGATGCTAATGTGCATGATTGAAACATGCTTTTCATTTCTACACCCTGTGTGTTTTTTTATTGGCTAAAGGGGGTTACTTTTTACATTTAGTTATTTATTATTTTAATTGTGAGGTTGGAGAGTTCTCACATGTAGCCATTGTCTCCATTTCATAGGAGGCAACAACTACCGTATTTTCTGCCCCATATAAGTCACAGATTTTTGCATAATTTACATGCCCTGCAACTTATAGGCCGAAGCGACATATTTATGGATTTTTCCCAAATTTATAAACCAATTTTTGGCTAAGATATGACCGTTTTCATTCATTCTGATTGAAAAACAAAATTGAGTAGGACCACTTTCAGCCACTTAATGGCAGCGGAGTAGTAGTAGATGTAAGGCATGCTGTTGCGTCATGTAATAGTTAAACGTGGCTATAATAACAAATACAAAAAAGTGCAAGACAAAAACAACTGGAGTTTATTTATTATACTTTATACTTTATTGTTTTTTTCTTGAACTTTTTTTGAATTTACTATGTCCTGGATGACTGAGAATCTTCACCAGCTATTAATGATACAATCGGCTTGCCATAGCCTACCACCTTCGTTCTGCTTGCTGCTTAGACCAACCGTCAAACCAACTGCACCACCCTGGCGAAATGCAGCTAATTTGACCATTAAAGTGTATTTATTAAGCAAATGTTAGACTGAGACACAGCTTTGCTATAATTTCGAGCAAACAAATAATTGTTTAGATGCTTTTCTTGTTAAATTTCGAAGAAATGAGCTGCGTTCCTCCTCCTTGTTCTCTCCCTCTGCATGCTCCCAGAGCACTGAGGCAGCACAACTATTTGTGAAATTCAGCAGATTTGACCGTTAAAGTCCTTTTATTAAGCAAACGTTAGACTGAGACACACCTTTACTATAATTTTGAGCAAACAAATAATTGTTTTTAGGCGTTTATCTTGTTAAATTTGCACAGCGACTCGTCGCGTGCACGCGTTTACTTCTACGTATCGGCTTTTGAAATGCAGCTGATTTGACCGTCAAAGTGCATTTATTCAGCAAATGTTAGACTGAGACACACATTGACTATAATTTTGTGCAAACAAATAATTGTTTTTAAGTGTTAATCTTTTAAATTCTTGTTAAAGTCCTCCCGTGCACGCTCCCGTGGACGCCATTTGGCAGCCAATCGATCTTTGGCACAGCACCGGTCCACAATTCTGTGTTGTCAGCGGTGACGCATAATAGATGCGACGTATACAACGAAGCAACATATTTATGGGTTTTTCCACTTTATTAGACAAATATGGACTGGTGCGACTTATAGGGCGAAACGACGTGTACGGCGGAATATACGGTAGTACTTTTTCTCTGAAGAATCACTATGAATATGTGATTAAAAAACAGCCTAATCGGTGTTCAGAATAGGGTTACAAACGAGAAAAGGTTTACTGTCTAAAACGAGTCAAACCTGAAAACTAGATAGCCATTTAAACAAATTTTATGTTGTGAAGTTTACTTCTTCGTTCACGTAAACAAACTATTAACCTGGTCTGTTTACCTTATTTTGGCTCAGGAAATGTGCATAGTTAATAACTTTTAATAGAAAGCCACAAACATTGGCTTTCTGAAAATGTAAAAATAAAATCAGTGTAAAACCTTTAATGCATTAGCATAACTGGAGAAGCACTTTTCAATGACCCATGCTCAAATCTTTGTAATAATATAGCATGTGTTTTACAATTTTATTGTGTTGCAACAAAGCTATTACGCTAAAGTAAGATGAATGTGCATGACTACAACTGCCAAAAAACTTTGAGGGCTATTATTTTCTTTGCTGTCATCACAGGCTGGTGTGTGTTTAATAGTCACTGACATTTGATGACATGTTCCTGTAGACACTGCAGTGCAATATTTCGCAGACCAGCCTCAACAGCATGTCACTGCTCTTCTAATTGGTAATGGCAGCCTCAAATTAGATGCTGCCTTTCTCAGTAATAACTAACATCCATTTCCTAACTGCTGTGAAGTGTGGCCCATGATAGTCTGCAACACTCTCTAATGTCCACAGAATTCTTATAGGCAATAAATATGCATGTTTATACTATTTTCTCTGTTTTATCTCGTGCACAATCAGTGAAACTAACCAAAATTCTAAACGGACTTATGACTGCATAAGTGAGGAGTGCATATTGACTGCATGGTCATGCAGGATCACATAATGGTTTAAAACAATGGGTCTATGGATAAAATAACAAACCCATCAAATTACAAGTTTGACAGGTTTGCACTTCTACCAGATAAATGTAACACATTTTCAGTTTGTCAAAGTCTTTTCTTGTTCCTTTCTTAGGTTTTGTGCTAAAGCCACAAGACAAATTAATTGTTGAAGTTTCCTGTCAAGATGCCTACCTAAGACTTAACAGTGTTGCTGTGCTGAGAGACAGTTATAAAATCCATCTTGACAAGCATGTGGAGTTGCAGCATCCTGGGAAGCCCATTCCAAACCCAAGCCCAGAAGCAGAACTGTGTGATGCATTAGCGTCTCTCCAAACAAATCACAATCGTCCTGAAAATGTTTGTATCCTGGAGTGTTCAGAGATGGCACTCCTGAACAACCAGGATTACCATCAAAGTTTTTGCAGTGCATTATCCAAACTCATCTCAAGGTTAACAGTTAAAAAACAAAACCAGGAGAAGGAATGTGCCATGTTTGCACCGGACAGCAGTCTCTTCCATATCTTGGATGTGTCAGAGGGCTTCTCTCTGCTTTCCCTCATTGCCGCTCACCAGGGGGATGTGAAAGCCTACAGCTCTGTGAAAAAGAACAAGCAACAAGAAGTACTGAGGAGACTTGCTCAGTCCAACGGTATCTCAGAGCAGCACATAAAGTTCTGGCTTAACCACACAGAGGATGAGCAGAGTGTCCTACAGAGGCCTTCCCAGGAAAAGCTGTGGAGCGCCATCATTTTGGATTGTGTGGAAACATGTGGCCTCATTCGGCAAAAGCTAATGGAGAAAGCTTCACTGGCCAGGTAAAGACAGCACTTGTTTTTCTCCTCTCTTTTACCTCATTAAAAAAAAAAAAATAGGAGTATCATTTGCATGCAACTTGCATGCAAATGATACACTCCTAAGTCACTTCAAATTAAGGCAATTTATTGTTCTTTATTTATTGTTTTGTTGTATTTAATAGTTTGTTCATTGAAGTACTCCTAAAATAGGTACCGGTATATCATTTCCACACATCATCTCTGGTGTCATATATTGGTCAACCATAATATTATAACTGGAGAAATTCCATTTCCTGCGAAAATGCAGTGTGGATGCTTATTGCAGAAGAACTAGCTGAAAATTGCTTAAAAAGCTGAAGTTTATTTGATATACATCTGTAGCTTAAAATTGGAAACATGCAAAGCGCATCTAGGAGCAAGATGCTCCAAGATGCACAAAATGCAGAAAAATAACTTAAAAAAATGCTATAAAAAATATTAATTTAGCTAAAATAAAAAATAATCAGAATCAACATTAAATAGCAAAAAAGAAGCTGAAAGGAGCATAGATAAAGGCTAAAGTAGCAAAAAGTTATCAAAATTCAGAAATAATTTAGTTTATTCAGAAGTAGCAAAATGCTAATGAAGAGCCAGAAATAGTGAAATGCTACCAAAAAAAACTCCAAAAAGCTAGCTTAGTGCCAGAAGTAGCGAAACATTAGCAAAACCACCAAAAACCCATCTTTGTACTAGAAGTAGCATAATGCTAGCAAAAAAAAATGGCTAGTTTAGTGTCAGAAGTAACAAAACACAAGGAAATAAAAAACACCAAAAATCTGGCTTAATGTCTGAATTAGCAAAATTCTAGCAAATACACCAAAAAGCTAGCTTAGTGCCATAAGTGACGAAACACTAACAAAACCCACTAAAATGCTAGCTTAGTGCCAGAATAAGCGAAATGTTAGAAAAAAACAGGAAATTGCTAGCTAAAAGCCAGAAGTAGCTAAATGTTATTAAAATGAAGAAAATACTAGTTTAGAGTCAGAAGTATCAAAATGCTATCAAAAAGCAGGAAAATGCTACACTAACAACCAGAAGTAGCAAAACACTAACAAATTGCTGAAAAGCTAACTAAGCATCAAAAGGAAAACACAGAAAATGCTAGCTCAGAGCCAAAACTAGCAAAACTTTAGAAAAAAGTATGAAAGAGCTAACTTAATGCTAGAATTAACAAAATGCTAGTAAAACAGCCAGAAATTGCTATTTTATAAGCAGAAAGATCAAAAAGCTGAAAAATGCTAGCTTAGAGCCAAAAGTAACTAAATGATAGCAAAAACAGGACAAAACTTGCTAAAACAACATGAACCGTCTGTGAAAAATTAGAAATGTGTTAGCTAAGAGCCAAAAGAAGGAAAACAATATCAAAATACTGGGAAAAAACCTAGCTTAAAGCTAAAGTAGCAAAACACGAGCAAAAAAGCAGGATTAAGCTAGATTAGAGTCAGAAGTAGAGTAATGCAAGCAAATGTAAGAAAATGCTACCAAGAGCTACGTTTGCTACATAAGCAAAAAGAAGCTGAAATGATTAGGGGTGCACCGATTGCAGTTTTCTGGCTGATCCCCGGTTTCTAAAAAATCTGACCTGCCAGTTCAGATTTTGACCGATACCGTTTTAGTTTTATAAGCGACACTGTCAGGTGTTATGAGGTCACAATGCACCTTCAATTTTCCAGTATTATTTTGTTGAAAAACATACCCTTGAACAATATCTTAGAAACAATACAAACTTCTTTTAACTGGCCATGAGGTAGTGCTTTGAAATATAAAGAAATTTGGACAATTGTTGTTAAAACAAAACAAAAAAATCAGTAATATCGTTTTCTCATTTAAGTATAGTCCGATTTCCGGTTTCCCAAAATTAAGAAAATCGAGGCTGATTTATTGGTGCACCTCTAGAAATTATCCCAAAAAAATTATGAAAGCAGAAAAAAACTGAAATTGGCAAATAAAAAATGGCTGAAAATAAGATGAAAAGCAAAAAAACTGTTATTGCAGAAGGAGGCGGAAATAGCACAGGTTTACTTTTCAAATTTGTATATATATGTAATATGTATTTTAAATAAACTTTGGGTTTTTAAATAGCTTTCAGCAAAATTATTCAGCAATTACTATTCACCCTGCACTTTTGCAGGAAATGCAATTTCTCTAATTGATATTGCATAAGTGCAAAATTGACAGGATTTATATATGGGTTTTAGCAAAATGCTAAGATGCGTGTTGCAGCAGGTCAGTGGAAACATCCAGTACCTAGAGCAACTACAATTAACATTGATTAGCTACATTTGTGACCATGTCTTGTGGAATTTATTTTTTGGATGAGGAAATGTTAAGCATTTTGCAATGTTTCTAAAAATATTGCATTGTTTTAGTGTTGTGCTTTTAGATGTCTTGGATTTCCTTTTCTTCTGTTCTGATTTTCGTCAGATGTCTACTGGAAGAAGAAGGGCACATTTTCCCAGAGAAGATTGTTGTTTACGGAATGCTGGTGGAGTCCGACACACTGCTGCTAGAAAGTGCTGTCCAGGGTCGGGAGCCAACTCTGGGTTTTAATATTGCTCCTTTCATCAATCAGTTCACTGTAAGTATACATAAAAAAATTATAGTGTGTATCAAATTGAACTTCTTCCTGACCTTTGCTTATAAATGGTCTTAAGCTGCAATCTAAAGTACGATCATTTTATAATTAGAATTTAACTAGAGTATTTTACACCATCCACTTCTTTAACACATCAAGAACTGTGACAACTGATGTGGTAGAAAATAGATTTTACATCAAAAACAGCCCAAGTAGGACAGCAGAACTTAGGTTTTGGTCAAACATTACCCTGTTTTGTTTGTGTGTGGTTTTATTTATTTATTTATTATTTAATATAATTTTACATTTAATCTTCTGCCATAAATGTGATTTGAAGCTATCATAGTTGTTATTGTATGTAAATCCAACATTTAATTTAGCCATTCATAGCAACTTTGCTAATCTAAAGATTACAGCAAGAAGTGCAATCAGAAGACAGTCATTTTATAAACAATGAGGAAAGGTGGGGGCAGTTATGACATCAAAGCAAAAAAGAAAAATCACAGTAATAAACAATTTTCTTAATCACAAATTACCGGTATGTTAACAGATTTAGAGTCAAAGTAGCTGAAGTGCACTTTTTGGTTTACTGTTTGTGTGTTTGTTTACCATGGGTATTCTAACCAGAAACAGCTGCAACAAAATTATTGGGTTTTTTTTTCTTCTTTTGGCTGCTCCTTTTCTCAGGAGTCACCACAGCAAACTAACTTGCATGAAGACTTGGCAATTGTTTTTACACTGGATGTCCTTCCTGACGCAACCACAGACCACCGAGCTCCCACAGCCCTCTGTGTGGAGCAGAGAGTTGCCTGCTCCAAACAGGGGGCCCAGGGGAGCAGATGGTGGGTGTTAAAGGCCTTGCTGAAGGGCCCATAGTGGGGCAAATGAGGGTGGAGGCAGGTGTGGGTGCGTCACCTTTCCCACCCACATTTTGATGTTGTCGGTCTGGGGAATCGAATTGGCGACCTTCCGATCACAGGCTCACCTTCTCTAACCTCTGCGCCACCACTCCCCAGTTGCAACAAAAAAATTCTTCCAGATGTATTAACTGGACAGAAATGAATGCCTGATCTACTATACTTTTGGAAGAAAAAGACCAGATTATTTAACTTCTCTGTACTAGGGATCAAATTATGTCTTTAGTACAGCTGGGCATGCATATAAATTATTACTTCTTTATTATTGGAGCAAAATTGTAAAATACTACATTATATTGTCCAGTGTTTCCCCTACCATTATACAAGTGCAGCACCGCACCCCGTCAGGAGAACTGAGCGCACCGCCTACTGAACCGCGAGCACCCTCTGACAGCAATGACATAGCGCTAAGCTAGCTGCGTGAAGTACAGGCACGCTAGTTAAAAACCTAAGGGCAACATGAGCGCTGCCTCTTCCCTCACACTGACACCCCCCCACCCCCGCTCAAAAACTGTCATTACTAATAGCGCAGCTCAGATGAGTTTCTGTTCCCCCCACCAACCCACACCATTGACTGGCAAGTTATCTAAGGGAAACACTGTTGTAGTTTGATGCTCTGCAACACTTTTTTTTTTCTTGGTCAACATGAGATTTGAGCAAATGTGCTTGATTGTAGAGCCCAATTGATATATCAGTAGGGCTGATATTTTAGGCCGATATAGGCATTTGGGGACATATCAGTAGTTGTTATTATTGTCCCAATATGTGCTGATACAAACACTTCTAATTTCATCACTAAAATGCTGAGAACCAACCGTGTCCTTATTTGCACAAGGTATAGCTGTACAATGTATCCTGCAGAGGGTGCATATGGCCAAGTCATGGCCATGCACTTTAACTTTTACTTTTAGCACAGCCGAAGCAGCGAGCAATACTGTGTAGCATATTTTGCTGAACAGAGCACGGTAAGTTTAATGTAACTGATCTGTAAAATAAATCAACAATAATAAATTATTTTCAATTCTCCATCCTGCTTGTCATTAGCTACATGCCTCTCAAGTTAGAGTCAGAGTTTCTTTATTGTCGTTCCACCACATGAAATTATGCACACACGGTCCCAGTTACATATGTAGTGAACTAGGCCTGATGTCAAAAACTTTGACCTTAAGGACCATATGGGACAGAAGCTGTCATTTCATTGATTTGAATCCAGAAATACAGGTTGACCCATCCTGAGACTTTCTTTCTTGAAAATTCAAGTGAAAGAACACTCTCTTTTTTATTATCATTACTATTTTACAAATGTTTGATAATCAAAGTGTTTTTAGTTCAAACCATTTTAGATGCTGCAGTGAACTAATCATTTTTATTAACTGTGAAACAGTAATAATGATTTTTAATCCTCATGCAAAGTTAGAATTCATGTTAAGGTCTTTTACAGAGTAATTATGCATTTTCTGATTTTCTGTCTTTGAATGAGCAGGGTAAGTTGGTCCAAGGTTGGACTCAAACGCAGACAAGTGTTGGAACGAGCTGTCTTGTTTTTACATCCTCTCAGACGTAAATAGAGAAGCTGGCACCTGTTGGCACCTGTTTTCCGCCAACTCGCCCAAACATTTCTCTCCCTGTCTCTAAAAACATTTTCAATCCGTTCCATAACATCCTTGCTGTTTTTCTGACTCTTAGTGACCTCTTACGTCACAAAACACACCCCTGTCTGGTCGATATTGACCAATCAGAAACTCCCAAATGAACCGGAAATAGAGCTCTTTAAAATGTCGGTACTTCCTAGTTCAAACCAGTGTCGAGAGTCGTGTGGAGTTTCCAGTCGGGTCGAGAGTCGAGTTTGGAGTCGAGTCCAGTTGGAGTCGGGTCGAGTGTCGAGGAGAACCAGTCGCTTCAGGCTCCGGCTTCAGTCGCTGCAACTCGTGCTGGGAAACAGGAAAATCCTGACATGACCACAGAGCTCTTCCGAGTCTTATGGGATTATAACATCTTCCACCTCTGAGTGGAACTTTTGAAGGACTCCACTCATGTGAGTCCACCGTGAGCTGAACTGTTGTTGACAAAGTCGCGTCACCACTCCGGACGGTTCTCTGCCATCCTACGGAGACGCTGGACCGGTAGCGTAACCGGAGCTCCGCTTTCACTGATTCATCGTCAGAGAGGTAATGAGTCGAGTTGACTACCGAGCGTACCGAGGAAAGCTGGGTCGAATGGAGGGTGTCGTTCTGTCCAACACTTTTCACTCACACACACACCATCTCTCTCCCTCTAAACTTCATCTTTCCATCTTTAAAATTCTTCTATCAAGTAGAAATTAATCCAGATATTTTAGAAATGTCTGTGTAAAGTTTCTGACCACCGCCGTGTGGTCAATCAAAATTGTACAGCTTGCTAAAATTAGCCATGTTGTTATTTTCCATATTTTGCCAATTAATGTAAATGTGTGATGTGTTAAACTTTGATTCTGTTAATAAATGACCCACTGTCGTTTGGTGAGTCAAAGATAATTAACGTCTCACGTTACACAAAGTTTGTTTTCTCAGTCATCCAGGTATATAACAACAAAAAA